TCTTGCCTTCTTTGTCAAATATTAATTGAGCATAATGGCTTGGGTCGATTTCTGGGTTCTTTGTTCTGTTCCACTGTTCTATATGTCTGTTCTTGTGCAAGTACCAGGCAGTTTCGAGAACAGTGGCTTTGTAGTATAGCTTGATATCTAGTATTGTGATCCCTCCAATATTGTTCTTCTTTCTCATGATTGCTGCAGCTATTCGGGGTCTTTTTTTATTCCAGATGAATTTTTGGAGAGTTTGTTCTAGGTCTTTGAACTATACCAGTGGTATTTTAATGGGGATTCTATTGAATTTATGGATTGCTTTGGGTAGTATGGACATTGTAATGATGATTCTACCAATCCATAAATATGGTATAGTCTTCCATTTGTTCATGTTTTCCTCTATCTCTTTTTTCAGTGTCCTGAAATTTTCTGAGTACAGGTCCTTTATATCCTAGGTTAAGTTTATTCCTAGGTATATTAATTTTTTATTGCAATGGTAAATGGGATTGCTTTTTTAATTTCTCTTTCTGTTTGTTCATTATTGGTGTATAGAAAAGCCATAGATCGCAATGGCTAGTACTTCCAGTATTATGTCAAACAGGAGTGGTGAAAGTGGGCATCCCTGTCTTGTTCCTGTTCTTAGGGGAATTCATTTTAGTTTTTGCCCATTGAGTATGATGTTGACTGTGGGTTTGTCATATATGGCTTTTATTATGTTGAGGTATGATCCTTCTATTCCCACCTTGCTGAGAGTTTTTATCAAGAAAGGGTGTTGGATTTTGTCAAATGCTTTTTCTGCATCAATGGGTATGATTATATGGTTTTTATCTCTAAGTTTATTTATATGGTGTATCATGTTTATTGATTTTCAGATATTGTACCATCCTTGCATCCCCGGAATAAATCCCACTTGGTCATGTTGTATTATCTTTCTGATATAATGCTGGATTCGATTTGCTAGAATTTTGTTGAGAATTTTGGCATCTATGTTCATGAGAGATATTGGCCTATAATTCTCTTTCTTCGTGCTGTCTTTATCTGGTTTTGGGATTAGGATAATGCTGGCTTCGTAGAAAGAGCTTGGAAGTGTGCCTTTCTGTTGAATTTTTTGGAATAGTCTGAGGAAGATAGGTTTTATTTCTTCTTTGAATATTTGATAAAACTCCCCTGTGAACCATCTGGCTTTTGTTTGCTGGAAGTTTTTTGATTACTGCTTCGTTTCCTCCGTAGTTATCAGCTTATTCAGATGTTTTGATTCCTCCTGGCTGAGTTTTGGAAGGTCGTATTTTTCTAGGAATATGTCCATTTCTTCTAGCTTGACCAGTTTGTTGGAATAGAGTTGCTCATAGTTTTTTTTTAATGATTCTTTGTTATTTCTATGGGGGTCTGCAAGTTGTAGAGTTATATGGTTTATTACCACTTTTTTCTTGTTTTTTTGAGGTAAGCCTGTAATGCTCTGAACTTCCATCTCAGGATTGCTTTCGCTGTGTCCCAAAGATTTTGGATTTTTTTGTTTTCATTGTCATTTGTTTCCAGGATGTTTTTTATTTCTTCTTTGATCTCTTTGGTAACCCACTCATTGTTTAATAGTATGCTATTCAGCCTCCAAGTGTTTGAATTTTTGTGACTGTTTTTACTGTAGTTGATTTCTAATTTTATGCATTGTGATTGAGAAGATGCTTGATATGATTTCAATCCCCTTGAATTTGGAGAGACTTTGCCTGTGTCCCAATATATGGTCTTTTTTGAAAATGTTCCATGTGCACTTGAGAAGAATGTATATTCTATAGTTTTGGGGTAGAATGTTCTATAGATGTTGGTTAAGTCCATTTGATCTAGTGAATCATTTAGGATTGAAGTTTCTTTGCTAATTTTTTGTCTAAAGGATTTATCTAGTGATGTTAATGGAGTATTAAAGTCTCCTACTATGATTGTATTGCTGTCAATGTCTTCCCT